GTGTCATTTTAGAGTAACCATCTTAAAACAACTTTCATTGAACATAAAGGTTTTGGTACATCAAACAAACTTTTATAGATAACGGACAGCTTTCACCCCTAGCTTTTCTATCTCCTTCAAAAGCTAAAGTAACTTTCACTCATGCTCGGAGATTGAGTTGTCTATTTGCTTCAATTCCCTTGCAAATCCCGCTAAATCAACTAATTTGTGAGCCAAAATGCTTGCTTAGGTCATAGCTTCTTCCATGACGTCGTCCCTTTTCTCTATCTTAAGCACCAATTCTTGGAGATGCAGACACTGCATCTGATTTTTCCTTGTAAGAAAGTATGCATGTAAAAATGCTTAAATAAATACATGCAATGTAAATGCAAATGCTAAATGCAAGTACAAAAGGTGTCATTTTAGAGTAACCATCTTAAAACAACTTTCATTGAACATAAAGGTTTTGGTACATCAAACAAACTTTTATAGATAACGGACAGCTTTCACCCCTAGCTTTTCTATCTCCTTCAAAAGCTAAAGTAACTTTCACTCATGCTCGGGGATTGAGTTGTCTATTTGCCTCAATTCCCTTGCAAATCCCGCTAAATCAACTAATTTGTGAGCCAAAATGCTTGCTTAGGTCATAGCTTCTTCCATGACGTCGTCCCTTTTCTCTATCTTAAGCACCAATTCTTGGAGATGCAGACACTGCATCTGATTTTTCCTTGTAAGAAAGTCGTTGTGGTTATGAAAATCTTGCATAAGATTACTACAATCATTGACCATCTTCATCAACTTCTGTTTCTTGGCTTTAGTGGCTTCTAGCTCAGCTTCACTCTCCCGCTTGTGGTGTTGATGTGACATTTCCATGTTAGCTATGGCCAAATTCAACGTCTGATTTTCAGCTTGATATCTACCCAAATCATTGATAGTTGTATCACACCTTTTCTCTGCAATCTATAAATCATAAGAAAACTTATTCGCGTGGCCTTCATGCACCTTACAATTCTTTCTCCATTGTTCGGCATCATTCTTCAATTTAACGACCCTGCTATCCACTCCTTTGGGATATTTCCTATGCCGACAAATTCAAAGGCTTGGCTGATCCTTTGAAAACTATCCCGCACGACTTCCATCTCTCTGCTCAAACTATCATTCTCGCTCCTTAAATGACGAATCTGAGCTTTATATCTCAATAAACTATCTTCTTCTTGGATGTCCTCACTTATGCCCTTACCTTTGAACACCTTTGGCTCCACCTTAATTAAATAATCTATCACCAGACCCAGTCGATCTTTCATTTCAAACTTCAAAACTTCATGATCCAAATAATGTTGGTCTCGATGTTTGAAGGTAGTGCAATTCTCAATGCAATGTCCTTGAACCCCGGTATGATATTCACAACAAACATTGACGTCATACCATCTTGGATACGGGGGCTACAAAGGCTTCACATAATGTGGAGCTACTTCTTGGGCTTCTAACAGTGCATCATACAACTCCTTATATGATATTGGGATAGAATCAAAACGAGAGCCACCTTTCGGCTTGGGTTAAACTACAGTTTCAAGTTTTACTTCCCCTGATGTCTGGAGTATACTATCAAATACCACCGAGTTCTGGCTGCATGGCTTCTTTTCATCCTTCTGCATTTATGTAGTTGCTATGATTTCTTTGGCGTTTTCAAACAGCTTGTTGATACGAACAATGATTGTGTGTGGTCTCTCATACTGGCTAAAATCAGTAGGCTCTAAAGTAGTCTCTTGCATATTTGAGACCTCAAGGTTGCTTCTGTCGAGCTCTGTTGTAGAAGTCTCTCTTCCTTAGGACAAAGCATCTATCCTATCCATCATCCTGTACATCTGCTCTTTTATCTCTTTTTGCTTTTCCTCAGTCATGCGATCTTCGGGTGCAAATCTTTCCACTATTCTCGAAGCTTTCTTAGGATGTCATTTCTTATCTGTGTTATAGCTTTCTTGAGCATGAAGCCCTTTGTCCTTCATGAAAACCTTTTACTATGATGAACACTCACAAATCAACACCTTTTGATCATGTCATGATCATGTAATGCAAACAAAGAGAAAAAAACAACATAAAACAAGTTAGTATAAATAAGACATCAAAATGACCCAAAAGTAACAATAGCACAATGAATAATATAATAATCATTATAAGAATGCAAATGCAAATGCATAAGGTGTTAATTTCAATAGTGACCACTATAGAACAACCTTCATTTAGACAACAAGAATTTATTACACCATGTAGTCAAAATAAACTTATGATTCTTCATTCCTTGAGTCGTACTCTTCTTGGAATCGGACGTTACACCTCCAAAATTGTCGGTGTATTTTATCATCCTTGATGACGTCAGACATCTCTAAATTGAATCTTGGGATCTCTATCTTCACTTTCAATACAAAGTGGTCTTCATATCTTTGTGAAGGGTCTTCTCGTCCTTGGTATTAATGCATCTATCTCCTGAGGGAACATCTTCGGCCTTCGCTCCTTTGAAAAAAGTCTTCAATTAACTTCAAACTTCATTCATCGGATGTCTTTCTTCATGGATCGATCTTCAATCAATTTCAGATTTTCTTCATTCATCAGATGTTCATCTTCATGAATCATTCTTCAATCAGGTTCAAATTTCATCATTCATAGGATGTCCTTCTTCATGAATCACTTGAATGTCTTTGGATATCCCAATTTCAGTACATGGTTAAGAATTTCTTGCCTCATTATGACCAGCCTTCTTATTAGTCAATCACTTACGAATTAACACTTTTGAATGACATGAAGATACAAATGCAATAAATCCAAAATAAAATAAACATAAACCAAAAAATGGATTAGTACACATAATATAAACAACAAAATGATGAGTATCGTAACAAATAAAACCTACCTTCACATGCTGACTACCCAATCATGCTTAATAGATCCTACCCAACATAATATCTACCCCTATGCTTTATTTGAATATTAAAACCCTAACCACATGATCTCTACTTCGCATGCATATAGAAAAAATGAAAATAAATTACCCAAAAAGCTTTTCCGTGTGTACACTCTTCACGGGAATCTTAAGGTTCGGGTCAGGCTCGACCTAAGTTCAGGCTCTACATTCATTATATGCTGGGTTCGGTTCTAAAGTAATAGGTTCTTGAATTGTCCTTTTCGGTGCCCCCTTGGGATGTAGAACCCTTAATCTTAGCCCATCATAGGCTTTAGGGATCGAATTCAACTTCGAGGGAACACACCTCCTTATGTCCATGCGAAGGTGATTACCATCATGAGGACCATAAGGCGTGAGCTCCATGAACGATCCACTATCCCATGCGGAGGTGAAAACCACACGAGGGAGTAATCTCTCACTCCTACTTAAATAGGACGAAGTAGGATTTTAGCTCATGTTATGCAAATGCAATTGTGTAGTGTGTGAGGAAAAACGAAAATAAAACAACACATATTAACAAAACACTCAAAAGACCAATCATCTTTAAACACAATATTAATCTGAAACCATTAGCAAACAGATCCGTATAACTATTTATTGGTTAATCAAATTCTGAACAAACAATATTAAAACCAAATAGGGGATCAAAAACCAAATTAGAACGAATTTATAACTTTCAATTGCAAAGACAATTAATTAATCAACTAGAGGCCTAACTCTCTAAAAAAGTCCCCAGCGGAGTCACCAAGCTGTCGAAACGGTCTCTTTCTTAGGTGCGAGATTTTGAAAACCACGTCATTTTTAATTTCTCTTTGCGATATTTTTAATTAAAACCAATGCGATTTTAAAAACCCTCTCATTTCAAAATTTTGGAAATTCCTTTACGATAACAAAAAAATACACTGTTCGAAGAGTCGCCACCAATCTTTGATTAGGGTGTGACTGGACACCCAAAAAATGTTTTTCCATTTTAAATAAAAAATAATTTTAATTAAAATGACAAATTTAGGTCTTCTTTGCCAGAATGAGTTCGGGAGTCGATTATACGTAGGGAATGATTAGCACCCCCACAGCACCCTAATCGGTACATAGTCGATTAATTAATGTCTTTGCAATGAAATTTACAAATTCGATTTTAATTTGATTTATGATCCCCAACAAAACAACATATGAATTTTACAATATTCAAAAGCACCAAAATAGATTAAATTAAAATTACAAAACCTTTAGAAAGATAAAGAATATTCGATTATTTAAAAATATTGAGACAAAATCTTAGATAAGTTCTAACTACCTTTTCTCGAAAGATTTAAATAACCGAATATTTTCTTTTCTTTCATTCCCAAATTTTAAAGCATTGAATCAATTTTTAGGTGTCACTAATGGGATAGACTTCTAGTTTAAAATTGTCAAAAGCGGATATCTAATCAGTTAAGACCACCCACTTAAAACAACTTTAAATTAAAAGGATATTACTCTTAATTCAATTATGTAGTAGTATCGAGTTGTGCTCATGAGGTTAACATGCAAAGTAATTCAAATTCAATCCTAAACCTATATGCATCAACATTTAAGGATTATATATATACATGTAGATTATAAATAAATACATATCGAAACATGATGTAAGCAATTTCACATACGATTAACATTCACAAATAACATTAGATACCTAATTAGCAATCATTACAGAACAAGTAAAATGAAACGACCATGACATGAAATAACTTATATATATATATAAAAGAGCTTTATAATAATTAGACAACCAACATCATACCACATATAAGATATAAAATCTAATATTAAATATAATACAACATATACACGCAACATACTAAATATATTTTAATGTAATTACAACCCTATGAGCATTAACAAGAACATAAATGTATGCTTAAAAACATAATGAGCTAGAGCATAATAAAATAAAATAAAGACATTACCAACCACATCTCAAATCAAAGACCAAATTGTATTGAAAGTAAAAACGGTTGGGACCCTTATATAATAAGCAAAGTAATTAAAAAAACTCTACCCCTTTGTCTTATGTTAGCACAAAAACGGAAGAATCCTTAAACAAGTTAAAAAAAATAAAACCCTAAAAACATATTATTGTTAACATTTCTTCTCTACAACCGTTTCCTTCTCCCTCTACTCTCCTTCTTCCCCTTTCTCTTCTTCAACATAAACGATTGCCATGGTCTGAACCAAAGCCACCAGACTGAACACAACAAGCTTGAACCGGTGCTAAACTCTAACTGAAATACACTACATGACGATCCCTAAGAACCGAGCCTCCACTTCTCCCTCTATTTCTCTCGATCAATTCCTCTCAAAGGCTACCCGAAACCAATTGTTCGGCCTGACCACTTAGCCTCTCGGCCTTGAAGACCATCACTGCAGTCATGGGAGCCTACAACAGTAAGGTAAGAACCCAACCTTTATTTATCTCTGTTTTTTTAAAGCTCTTTCCTAAGCATTCAAAAACCGTCCATGTCCTCAGGAACCCACTGCTCGCTAACACTCGACCGGTTAAGGTAACCAAACTAAACTTTTCTTTCTTTACTCATATTTGTTTCGAAACAAAAGCACACACCTCCTATTGAAAATCGAAAATGAACTTAAAAAATACCTCAAGAAAATTGTTTAATATTCTGATCTTTGTTATTATTTGCTTTGCTTTTGTTACAGAGAAAAATCAGGAAATAAACTCCCTTACGTACCGCTTTCCAAAACAAAGATGGAGAAAATTCGAAAAAACCCTTTTACAATATATTTCCCTCTCCTGTTGTTGATGAACTCTGTTCCCCCCTTTTTTTTCTTTGCTTGCTCCTCCACTCTAATAATCAGTTCCTCATTTTTGCTATTTTTTTATGACCGAGATCCCCTTCTTTGTATTTTCCTTCACTGAAAAATCGAGCCTTACCCCCCTTTGATGCATGTTTTCTGTGTTCTCTCCTTGATGATGCATTTTCTCCCTTCTCCTTTCGAATGGTCACCGAGTCCTCCCTTTTATTTCTTTCATTCCACCGAAAGCCTCTTGTCCTTTTCTTTAATTTCCTTGCATTTGGTGTGACTTTGATAGGTTTAGGTGAAATTAGGTTGGGAATTTGTCTTTGACTTTGTGGCTGATTTGTTTGTTTATTTTGCTTATGTTTTGTTGTTGTATCAGCTTCAATGGATGGCATGATTGGCGCGAGTATGGATCTTCTCGGTGAGTGATAGCAACACGTGGGAGGCATTGGCTTGGCGTTGACTTAAACCAGATCAAGTTGCTGGGTCTAATCCGGGTCTTGGGCTTGAACCGGGTCTTGGGCTTGTTGTAATTTGGGTGAGGTTATATTAGGCTTTGGCCTGCAATTGTAAAATAAAAAATTAATAATAATAATTATTATAATAATAATATATTTAATATTTATAATATTTTGTAAAGCTCGGTCAAAAATGGGTGTCTACAGATGGTTTACAAGCTAAGGACAACAGGTGAGTGCAAATTTAATTTGTACTTATATTATCAAAGGAACATTGGCTTGCGATGAGCTAGTGACGGAGTTACTATGGTAATAAGTGACCCCTAATTGCTATGTGATTTGTGGTTTATGCATACATGTGCATTTGGTGAGTTAATAGAATTAGTGAATAAACTAAAAATGCAAATTGGTGAAATCTGCCTAGATTTGTATTCTAAACAGTAAGTTTACAAAATCACCATAAATTCTAAAAAATATTAGAGGTTGATATTTATACCATTGGGTTTGTATATCAGTCTAGTTTTGTTTAAAAGAAATGGATATTGATTTCGAGTTGTATACAAAAGATATGAATTTTTAATCAAGGATAAGTCAGAAAAAAAGGTAGCAGATTGTACTCAAAAACAACTTCTATAAGTCAACTTTGAAAATTCATCATAAATTATACAAATTGAACTGGAAGTATTTATTTATATGGTTGGATTTTTATTTAAGCCTAGTTTCCATTGGTATAAAGGAAATCATTTTTAAGTGTATATTAATACATAATAATATTTCCTTGAAGGTAGTGCAGACTACCAAGATATGAAATTTTTGGAATTTAACCAAATCGAAAGTAAAGGATTAAGTTGAAGCTTAGTGATCCTTATATTTTGACTTGTTTGTAGTATCAAAGTGAGGGCAAGGCATGAATATCATTAAACACGAATGTTTGCTACATCATCGGGTAGGACTTGCGATAAGTCTACCTTATTTATATTGACATGATATTTATGTCATTTATCTTATATTTGGCATATTCTAAATATGTCAAAGGTTGAATATAAAATGCATTGATCACTGGTTGTTAAATATGATTTTTACCACGAATATATATATGATATTTATCATGAATGATATTTTGGGTATGAACTGCCCAATGTTAAATTATGTTAATATACTTTGTCATGGATGGATCAAATAAATATAGGATATATGCCCAAGCATGTCATTGAGGGTTTGTAATATTGATGGCATACCATAGAGTTCAGTAGTTGTAGGTTTCAGTACTATAGTGTGCAAGGACACTTAGTGCAGGTGGTGGGCACAACCTTATGTCTCATATCCAAATCAACACTAGAGTGTAAACCTAGTGTAGGTGGTGAGCATTACCTTATGTGTCATATCCATATTAGCACTAGAGCGCAAGTGCAAGTTTAGCACTACAGTGAAAATATTTGACTCGAATATAGGCGTCCTCATAGGTTTATATTTAGGGCTATGGTTTATTGGTTAATAAATGATAAACATGTGAATAAGCTTACGAGCTTATGGAATAAATGGCAACTATATTGGTAAGAAATTTTATATCTGGTTTATATCTTGTTGATATATGGTAACATGGTTGGAATGCAGGTAAAGTGATCATAATGCATTTGAATATTGTTACTCATTTCATTTATGTGTTGCATTGCTTTGAATATTTCTATGATTACCTCATTAAGTATATACTTAGCGTGTGATGATTTTCATGCGTAGGTAAAAGAATGTGAGAGGAGTGAGGAGCTGAGTTTGGCATCAATCACCGACGAATATTTTTAGGTAACAGTGATGACATCCTATCACGTTCTAAAATTTCTAGCTGACATGTATACGAGTAAGAAATGTCTGCAAATTATATGTATGGGTAGTATTCAATATTAAGTAATTGGACTTTAAGTCATATAGTTTTTAAATTTTTTTATGATATGAAAAAGAATAGAATTGTCCAGTTGATGCCTGAAAACGGATTTTAAATAGAGGTCAAAATATTACTATATTTTGATTTTATATGAAAAATTATTTTACAATAAAAGTTAAGAATTGTAAACTTTTGAAAGAAACAAAATTTTACTAGTTTTCAAATGTAGATTATCTCATAATGTTTTGTGACATCTGAATCGTGTTCAAGGTTGGATACGGGAAAAGGGTGTTACATTTATTGGTATCAGAGCTACTAGTTTAGCCGATTCTGGGACTAAACCAAACTTTTTTTAGTTAAAAAGTATGTACATGTCACTAGGATGTCATTGTTACTAATTTGGTGTTTGTAAGGTTCGATTGATGATACTCCTTACTTATGAAGGTGAATAAATCTAGTGTATGTATAAGATGTGTGTAATCGAGGGTTTTAAGAACGTGACCGAGCAAGAGGTTCAAAAATAAGCTAATAGTGATAGTAAAGTACTAGCTATAATTCTCATGTTTAGTCTAATAAGATGATGCATCGACACAGTAGGAAGTGTCAATAAGAGTTTAAGGAAACCCTCGTTCATGCATAAGTACAATATTAATTAAAGAATAGAACATTCTGATAGAATTGATCCTAAGTAACATGTGTGCGACTAACCCTTTAGGCCATTATGCGAGGGTGAGTCGTATTTGTAGACAGTAACTGTCTGGTAAGGATTCAAAGTGTTGAGTTTTAATGGACTTGACAGAATTACCTTTAGAAGATAATTTTTAGAATGGATTGATTACCCCTACCATGTCACAATGAATTATAGCTTAAAACGATTGATCTTAAAGAATTCGAAAGGTTTTGAGATATTAGTGGTAAGGAAATAAAGTAAATTTGTGTTCTAATTTGATTTTAGCAGTAACTGTCACGAAGTTATTACTATAAGCTTATCAAGCCTTCTTAGTCAATGCAGCGGATACTCAAACTTTCATAGTTAAGTTGGAAGATATTTCAACTATTTGAGAGTATCCAAATGTATATTTCCAAAAGTTACCTAGATTATTTCCAGGATAGAGATGTTGAAAAGAAAAATAGTGCTACAAGGTATTGCGTTTATTTCTATTACCTCGTATTGATTAGCTTCGATTGAGCCCAGAGGCTTAAAAGGCGTAGTTATTAGAATTGTTAAGATCCATTATTTACAAGACTAAGCGTGTCATCTGGGACGCACTAGTGTTATTGTGAAAAAAAAGATGCGTCTATGTAATTATGCATGGATTTTTGTTAGTTAAATATGGTAATAGAGAATAACAAGTGTCCTCTTCCAAGGATTTATGATATATTCATTAGTTAAAAAGGTGTATTAGAGTTTCCCAAGACTTGTCTTCAATCTAAATATTATTAGATAAAAGATAAGGAAGAATATCTTCCTAGGATTGTTTTCAGAATTCAATACGGACACTACGAGTTCCGGTAATGTCGTTTGGTTTAACGAATGTTCCTGTGACATTTATGGATTTAATAAACGAAGTATTTCAGTTATACTTGGATTAATTAGTGGTAGTGTTAATTGGTGATATTGTATCTATTGTAAGACCAAAGAAGAACACGATGCATATCTTTGTGTAGCTCTTCCAACTCTTTGGAAGAAAAGTGGTATGCTAAGTTGAAAAAGTGTAAATGTTGGTTGTCTAAGGTTGTATTCCTTAGCCATGTAATCTCAGTTGAGGGGATAAGAATACACTTCAAGAAAATACAAGTCATAGTCGAATGATAAAGTCCAAAGAGTGTTTTCGAAATTCGAAGTTTCTTGGGAATTTGATGGTTATTATCGAAGGCTCATAAAGAAATTTTCGGTTATTGGCTTCCCTCTGACCAAGCTATTGAGAAAAGGAACATTAGTCTTTTGGACTGATAAGTGCCAATAAAACTTTGAGATGTTAAAAAGAATATTGACTTAAGCTCCAATGTCAATGTAATCATAATATGGCAGAGTATGTGATTTATAGTGATGCATCTCATAATGTTTTAGGATGTGTTCTCATGCAAGAGGAAAAGTTAAGGCTTATGCTTCAAAGAAACTAAAGAATCATGAAAGAAATTATCCGACTCTTAATCTCGAGTTAGAAATAGTTGTGTTTACTTCATTGATATAACGCCACAACCTATATAGTGAGTGACACTATATCTATACGGATCTCAAAAATCAAAAGTATGGGTTAACTCGAATGAGTGAAAATAGAGGAAATGGATTGAATTCGTTAAAGAATGATGATGTGCTTATTGACTACCATCAAGAAATGCTATGTGGTGGTTGACACGATAAAGTCGAAAGACATTTCTGTTGTGGGAGTTTTGGATACATGATTGTTTTTAAAGAAATATGGTTCTTTGATTGCATAATTAAAGTTAAGCCTATGTGGTTAGATCGAGTAAGGGATCTTCAAAGGAAATATGAAAATTGGTGTGCTTGCCAAAGATAAAACGAGTAGAAAAAGTTAAAACCAAAGGCCTGGAAGTTAAGTCTGATGGATGATTATATTATCGAGGAAAGAGTCGATATAAGTGGCAGATATGAAAGAAGCTATTACCAAATTGGTTAAAATAGAGCATCAAGTGCCTTTCTGGATTATTGTAACCAATTTCCATTACTTAGTGGGAATAGGAATGAGTTACAATGGACTTTATAATAGGTAAATATTATTTAAGATAATCTCAAGATAGATGTCGATCAATAAAATTTTTATTCGGATTTAAAAAGAAAAGAGATATTCTATTAATGTGGTGATCAATGATTCTTAAAATATCGATCAGGTCCTTCTCATGTTATCACAATGGAGGATATTAAGATTCAATCAGATTTGACTTATGAAGGAATTAGTACTTATAAAAGTTTGTTAGAGAAATCAAAAGTTGAAAAAAAAAGCAGTATCCTTATCTTTTTACATCAAGTACCAATTAAAAATTTAAGGACGAATTCTCTTAAGGGGAAATAATTATAACATCACAAAATTTTGGTTAGTGACCAAAATAAAAAATTTGAAAGTTTATAAGCAAAAGTTTAAAGTTTAGAAAAGTTTAAGAACCAAAAGGATAATTTTTAAAAGGTTAGGGACCAAAAATATAATTTTAAAAAATTAGGTGTTTTGACCCCATAAC